CAAGAAAAATGGGCAGTAAGCAGCTGTGTCAAGGCGCAAAGAATTAAACGCAAATGTCACGTATGGTAGAGCGAGGTCCCAGTCGGAGTGGTCTGAGTAAACGTAGTTTGAAAGCATGTCGGTTATGGTTCCGTTTAGACGCTCCGTGAGGCTATTTGTTTGTGGATGGTATGAAGTAGTGATCTTGTAGCGCATTGCACGTGAGCGTAGGATGTCCGCTAGAACTCTCGATAGAAACGTGCGGCCTCGGTCTGTGAGCAGCTGGCGTGGAGTACCATGTTGCAAGATCACGTCGCGTAGAAGAAAATCGGCGACGTCTGTGGCGCTACTTGTTGGAAGGGCGCGTGTGATGGCGCGTGGTTAGTGGGCCCAGCTATTCACCTATTGCCAGCAGAAGACAAGTGAAAAGGGCCGAGTAAGTCCAAGCCGACGTAAAAGAAAGGTTCAGAGGGAATGTCGAGTGGTTGAAGGCGCCCAGCCTTAAGCGTCAACGTTGTTTAGTGGCGCTGACCTTCCTCAGATGCCACAACGTATTTTCTGACGGTGCGTGCCAAACCTGGCCAATAGAAGCGACGGCGAATCCGGTCGTATGTGCCGGACACGCCAAGGTGACCGGCAGCTGGAACGTCGTGAAGTTCGTAGAGTACAGCCGAGCGGAGGTGTTTGGGTATTGTAAGCAGCAGAGATGAGCCGTCTAAGTAGAACACACACCGGTTTAATGTACCATTCTGGAGTACGCACGAGCGATGGGATCGGCTTGATGGAGAGGAGTCGAGGAGATTGATGATAGCTTGTAAGTCTGCATCTCGGCGTCTCTCGTCTGCTATGTGGGTCTATTGGGAAACGGAGCACACTCAGGCGTCGTTGTCAAATACAGCGGATGAATCGCCAACTGGATAGCAAGAAAGGCAATCGGCGCCCTAATGCAGGCATACCGACTTACATATCAATGCAAAGGTGTATATTTGCAGTCGCAGAGCCCAGTGACCATGTCGACCTGTGGGTTCTTTTAAGGATGAAAGCCAGTAGGTGGTCAGTGATGACGGAGAAGTGAGTGCCATATAAATTTGGACGAAACTTCGAGACCACCCAGACAACAACAAGGCATTCTCGTTTTGTGATCGAATAGTTGCGCTCTGCAGGTAGTAAGGAGGTGACTGGCATAGGCAATCACGCGGTCGTGTCCCTGTTGGCGTTTGGCGAGAACGGCTCCGATACCGTGGCCACTGGCATTCGTTCGGACCTCAGTTTGGGCGGTTGGGTAAGTAGGCCCGGACAGGGGGCGTATTCAGAAATGTGATGAGGCGAGAAAACGCAGCAGCTTGAATGGACCTCTAAAAAATGGGACGCCTTTATTCAAAAGATCGGTAAGTGGTTGGGCAATTGCTCTAAAGTGTTTCACGAACCGGCTGAAAGAGGAACAGAGTCTCACAAAGCTCCGGACATCTTTGACGGATCAGGGTACTGGAAAACTCGTGATGGCACAAAAATTCTCGGGGTCTGGCCGCATACCAGAAGCATCGAAAAGGTGGCCCAATACTGTAATCTGTCAGCGGCCGAAGTGACACTTCGAGAAGTTCTAATGGAGGCCAGCGCTGCGGAAGACGGCGAGAATGGCCGACGGATGCTCAAAGCTGGTCTGGAGTGTAGGTGAAAATACGATAATGTAACAAAGGCATGTTGACCACTTGAACCCGTGTAGCAGACAGTAAATTATACGTTCGAACGTGGCTGTGGAGTTTCATACACCAAATGGTATAACCTTGAATTGGTACAGGCTATTGGGTGTGAGGAAGGTGGTCTTTTTTTGGTCTTCCTCAACCCCGACATTCTGCCAATAACCAGAGCGAAGGTCCATGGCTGAAAAGTATATAGCGTGTGCCATGAACATAATCGAGAGAGTAATTATTACGGGACAAAGAATGCATGTCCCTTTTCGTAATTCGTATTAGATGCCAGTAATTGATGCAGACACGCCATGTGTTGTTCGTTTTTTACCAGGATGACGGGTGACGCTAATGAGCTTGATAAGGGATCAATAATGGCTTCAGTTACCATCTTTTTAACTTCAGCTTGAATAATATGGCGCTCCGTGTGGACACGCGATACGATTGGCGGTGAATGGGAGCAGCAGCACCTGTGTTCATGTGGTGCTGGACAAGAGAAATTTGCCGAGAGGTCGATCGTCAAGGTCGAATATATCGTGGTAGGTAGCTCTAATGCGGATGAGGCGGCTGATTGCACAGGGGTGGACGTCAGGATTGATCATTGGACATATTGACATGGCGAGACGTGTGGCATCAAGTAGGCGACAAGAAATATTAGTGCATACGTCGGCTGCGAAAGTGGTTACATCGTCATCGGCTAAGGACTGCCACATGGCGAATAAGATGCCTTCAGGGAGGACTTGCTTCGTGAAGCCGAAATTTATGACAGGTAGATGTATCCGGTTGGCGGCTATAGTAACGACGCAGTGAGGGACAGTGACGTCACGGGCCAGTGGGACATCAGGAATTGGCGGGACGATGTAATCTCTATCCAACACGGGTGAGGTCGTGGCGAATTCGGCGAATGTGAGGGCTTTGGGTGGTAAGCAGAGGAGACCAGTGGCACAGAGGCTATGTTGAATTTAGGTTGAATAGCCGGCTGAACAAGAACGTTTGAGCAAAGAGTACCAGCGGAACAGTCTATTCGAGCAGAACGGGTCGACAGGAAGTACATCCCCAAGATGAGGTCATAAGGAAAGTTATGGAGCACCGTGAATAGGACAGCAACGTAGCGCTTGGTGATGCTTATACGAGCCATGCACATTGCGAGGACAGGAACAGTTCCGCCATAAGCGACACGAACAGCTTCTGTAGCAGGAGGCGTGAGTACTTTTCTTAAGCGGTGACAAAGATTAACACTGATTATAGACACGTGAGAGTCAGTATCGACTAGTGCCGTCGAATAAATACCGTCCACGTGCACATCGTCAACATTTTTGTTCGTAGGAAGCGTCAACAGAGGGTTTGGTACAGACAGAGATGATGCAGCACAAGCTCCAGGAGCTGCACTGTCTAGTTTTTCGTCAGGTACAATGAAAACTTGGGTGGCGAGGGATGGCGGCGTGGATGTGGTGACGGAAACGGCGGCGTTGAAGCTGCGAAGAATGAGCAGGAAGGCGGCGGTTAGTTGTGTCGAAAGAAGGATTCGTACGGCTGGGCGAATACCGACAAAGATTTTAATATGGACGATAAGGTGCAAAAGAGGGGTTCCTATGTGGCGGCGTCCAGGAGGCACGGCCGTAGAGGGAGACATGTCCAAAGCGGTGGCACTGGAAGCAGATCGGTTTGTCGTTGAAAGTCTGCCATTCTGTGGGGTGGCGAGATTATGAAGGGACGACTGGGTCACGTCGAGATGCATTGATGGGAATTGGTCTGCAGCAGGGGTGAGAGACGGGCAGGTGACAAGGAACCCGAGGTTGGCGAATTCTCGTCATCCAACCGCCTGAATAACAGAGACCGCGGGGGTTGTTGGTATTGTAGCATGCTCGAAAGGAGACGGCTGAACGGCGCTTGGCTTATTGCTTCAAGTTTCTGTCTAGCGATACGTGTGACACTCTGCTCCAAAGTGGTGGAATTGGAGCAGGTGGACGTAGCCACCATGCTTGGCAAATGAAAAACAAGAGGGTGTACACAACGGCTTTTTGTGGTTTCTAAACGGCAGCAATCTTGAATGATGCGGTCGGTAGTCGAGACGTTGATGTAGATCAGCGAATTGAAAGCGTCATCCGCGATTCCTTTCAAAACGTGACCAACTTTGTGAGCTTCAGACATCACCTCGTCCACTTTCCGGCAAAGGGCGAGAACGTCTGGTATATAGAACACATACGATACAGTTGGCGACTGGACACAGATAGCCAGCTCCTGTCATGTAGCTGCGTGGCAACTGGTCGGATCCCCAAGAAGGTCACGTAGCTTCTTCTTAAACGTGTCCCAGCTGGTGATTTTGGATTCATTTGTTTTGTATCAGAAATGCTGGGTTCCGTCCAAGATGAAGAGAACATTAGCGAGCATCATGGTAGGGTCCTAGTGGTGAGTTTGACTGACTCGTTCATACAGGCGAAGCCAGTAATCGAAATCGATGCCAGGTTGCCTAGAGAATGTTCCGGGATTACGGTGTGTGGGGTCTGCGACAAATGTTGTCGGAGAAGCCGCAGATAAGGAAGGGGACGGGTTGCCACTGGAAGCGAAGGCGTGAAGTTGGAGGATGTGGCCACTGCAGAGCTGCCTGGTGAGGACGTGAAACTTTCGACCTCCACCAATTATATTACGGGAGTAAAGAGTCAACATATTGCAAATACATTTACAAAATATATTTGCAAGAGTGGTTGCAAGGCTGGCCAGTCTGGCTCCAAGGTCAAGCAGCAAGCGACCTTCAACCGCTTTGTCGCATAGTCGCTTCAATATGCATTGCGGCAGCCTACATGTACCAATATTTTAAATTTCAGGCGCAGACGTATTGTGCTGCTTTCTTTCAATTGTCTAGCAGGTGGCACTCAATCATACGGTGCTTTACACATGACTGAACAATCAGCTTGGAGTTCTCATTCTATTCATTCTCTCGAGAAAGCGTGTGTGAACGATGATTTTTGATAATTTTGTTGCTGCTTGCACCTTATCCTGGCTATTCCGCAACGGTGGAGCTCCACTTGTGTCACGCAGGATCGTTTTTCTGTGATGTGAAGTACATTTTTCATATAAGCGCAAGGTAGGTGTTGTAAATGCGCTAGCAGCCACCGATCAATGTCGACCACTCGGTTGTTACTAAAGAAGTCATCCTGATGTTGACAGACACCTCACCAGTCATGGTAAAGCAGCGCTTCATGATTTAATGTATACTGAAAGTACGGCCACTAAAGTGTCATTGTAATAATAGTTCGCTTGGATGTGACTAGGAATGTCACCTTTGACGAGACAAAAATATTTAAAATTAGTTGACTTTTCTTTTGCATTCAGCGTGTCCAGAGAAGCAAGAACCAGCTACATGTGACGGTCGAAGCTTTTTCCCGCAGTTTTACTGTGGTGACGTTTTCATACTGGAAACGAAGTGGAGTTGTGGGAAGAAAAACAAAGACAGGTGCGTGTGCAAGTATCCTTTGCACAGAGACATCGACGATCAATGCGTTCGTCAGGATAAATGCAGTAAGTGCTGTCTTAATATCTGAACTTGTAACATCAATACACAATTTTCGCTATAGAGAAGGAAACACCAAATTGCACTTCACCACATGGGCATGCGCTGTCTCACTTTCACACTAAAATGATGCTGCCCCCTTTCCCCTTGCACATAGGATGTTTTTTGTCTAAGAGCTTCAAGTACTAGTATGAATCACTTGCAGACTAGTTTCCTGCAAACCAGACATCTTGCGCTGCATTTACAATTGATGCCTGGTTATTTTTCTTTGTGTATGTTGACGCCTACGAAAAACAGTGGTGGTGGTTGATAGCTGAGCCACTATATTCAGGTGTTTTGTCCTCGTAACAGCTTTGCTGCAGAACTCATCAACGCTGCCAAGATAGGCAATAAGTATTTTTTGTAATGTATACAGCGCGTTCGCAAAACGAATTCGCACGCGCTTTTTTAAGGGTAGACTACGTCACAGACTTGGTTCACATTAGACCTGCACTGTGACTTTTGATTGAAATGAAGTACTCTAATCGCAAAGGTACCCTCAATAATTCGTGTCACATATTTCTAAATAAAGAAAGCTAAAGATCTACACTTAGACTCACCTGATCGAGGGTTTTATAAAATACTTCATCTGCTTTCTGTTTTTTAATACTCGTGGAACCTACAACATATACCAAGAACGGCATCCGTATTCTGAGGCAAAACAAAGATCCCAGGAGATTCCTCACTCAAGTAGGTGGCTCCATTCATGTCGCAACCAAAACTTGGTGCATCTCAGCGATGATACGGTGCCTCTGCATGTCCTGGAGTTTATTCGTGAGGTCCGTATTGTGCAGTCACTCATCCCCGGTGGCCGAATCGTATAGAATGAAGCCCACGTTGAATTGGCACAGCAAGAACATATGGGCTAAGGCGCATCCTTTAAATTCATACTAGCTCAAAATTGCACAATCCTAATATACTCGCATAGGCTTCTAAGCATCAAAGGTTACATTGTACTTCCGCCTTTTTTGCAATATGTGAGGTAAAGCTATGGATTTTACACCTACAAGATTGAAAACAAAATTAATATATCATTTGTAAAATGCCTTGTTGAACTGTCGCTTTAGTAGTTTCTGTTCTCAAAGAAACATTTTCTATACCATGGCACCAAAATATTTGGCATAATGGAGTCCTGAAATAAATATACGCACATTTCAAGAGAGATAGAGAGTACACCAACGTTGGTTCAGAAAGTAAAAACAGGTCTACCGTTGGCATGTGGGGGAAATAGATATGTCGTCGGAGCTACTTCGGAGAAAACCAAAATACACCAAAGAAAAGGCTGTTTCCGGAGGGCGGTAAATATTTCTAACCATAGTCACTAAGCAAGCGCATGTCTGTTGATGGCTACATTGGAAACTTATAGTAAAACGACCGACGGATGGTATAGCTAAATGGTGGTAGGGACATGGTCGTTAGACTACACGACGTGGAAGATGGCATATGTGGCCGCGGCTACGTTATCCCCGCCAACTCTTTAGTTTATTTTGCACACTAAGCTTCCCGCTAGTACCTCATCCACTTGTCTTTTATTAAAATTTATTCTGTTGCTTATAGTGGCCAGTGGTTCTACTGCCCACGCGCTATATGTCGTGCTGAAGTCCCTTTCTATAGTTCATGATTTCGACTAAGAAGCCTCGAACACGCATATTTTCCTTGACCCATTACGGCCTCGTGTTGTACCTTAAAGTTACATATATTATGGCCTGAGGCACGGTTTGCACAGTGGTCATCAATTTTAAGTTGAACATCACTGTACACCTTAATTTTTTATTTGTTAGTAAAGAACCAGTAAAGTGAACTTGTTGGGCGCTTCTTTCTTGAGAAAAAGTGGTAAACTCCTATTCATGAGTTTAGATTGCCTGTAAAATAAGACCCAGCTATTATTTACTCTTTTCTCTTTTCATGTTCATTTCTTTAGCTCCATGTTCAGTGCCTGTCCTGAAGAGGCCTATTTCTTTACCACTTTCAGTGTCTCGCCACCTATCGCAAATGTTGGTATGATCCGAGGCTCTTGAACATTACATCAGTTTTCTGCATATCAATTTCAGACTAATTTTTTCACTTCGCTTTTATATTTGAGTAAGCGCTACCTTATGCCCTTTCCCTTGATTATCAAGAAATTGTTCTCAGTAAACCGCAGGGTGCAATGGTGCTCTCTGTTAACTATATTCGCTAACTTTTCACAATATAACACCGTAAATCACCCCTGTAATAAAGCGGTCAAAAGTATTGGAGAGATAGTGTTAGCTGGCCTTACACCACTATGTATTGGCACTATGACGCTTCCTAATGAAGGGTTATATAGAAATAGTTGTGAAATTACCGTAGATTTCTTCTCGTATGTATATGATTGAACTATACGCCACCAAATTTCATTGAATGCGTAAAAACGCTGAGATTTGCTCCGACTAAAAAACTTTTTTTTCCAAATCTGTGACGGCTATGGTAGGGTTCTCTAATATTATGCGCATTGCTCCTTCACCTCACGGATTGTGTGATTATTGTGTGTTAACGAACAGAATGGGCGACATTTATTACGGTCTCTTGGATGATCAAAATGGGGCCATCCTAGTTGGGACAATTACTGCGTACCAGGTTGTGAATAACGCTGAATTTTCAGTGATATTCCTTCCTGCATCATTGTGACTAAGGGCTTTTGGTAGTTTTAACAAGCGATCTCACTATCTGGCTAATGTAAATGCTTGCTGATGCAAAGGTGGAAAATTATACAGAACGGCTTATCTGAAGCGGCACGTTAAGCAACAAAACTCCAATGACATTGTTGACAGGACACGCAAGATAAACGGATTTACTCGAGAGAGAGAGAGACTGATATAATTACCAGCTAAAAAGTTTGAAACTTTTTATTATTTTTAGGAATGATAAAATTGCACTGAGATAAAAAACAAAGTAAATCTGCAGCCTCAATGGCGAGACAGACTGGCGGAGATAATGTTGAGGCCATTCGGGACAAAAAAGGAAGGGGGGGAGTGTTGGAACCCCTCCTCTCCACTGCCTGTTCTCATATTGTAATTGGGAGGTTATGTCTGTTTATTCTTTTATGGGCTCTCTGGATAGGAGTTGAATTGATATTTAGTGTGGCCTTGAGAAAGCGTCGTCTCAACACCGTTCGCTGGTGAGTGACATACACCATAACCTAAGGCATTGCCACTGCCCATGTTCTACAGGGCTACACACCCCACTTTAAAAATTGATAGTTATTTTATTCATTTCCTGTTGACGATGTGTTACTTTGTATAAAAATATTCATTGGTATCTACTATATGTTTTTTAAAACAAGGTTGGTGTTATATGGGGATCTGTGGAAAATTCTGACGTCCTAAGAGTACAAACTTTTCACTTTCTTGGTTTTCATTTTTGTCCTCAGTAATGTGTTTGTCCTGTGCAGAAAATGTGATCATGTGTTTTAGAGTGCTTAGATTACAAACGAAAACTGCTAGGAGCAGCTATATGTGCATGGGTTGCCCCGCCACGGTGGTCTAGTGGCTAAGGTACTCGGCTGCTGACCCGCAGGTTGCGGGATCAAATCCCGGCTGCAGCGGCTGCATTTCCGATGGAGGCAGAACTGTTTTTCACTGCTCCTAAAGAATGCACGAATGTTCTCCTAAAGATCACAGATCGTGAACTCAGTTCTTCATCTGACCACCAGTAAATATTTAGCACTGCTATATTCGTACACTGAAATTACCTCCCGTAAGGCTTTTAGAGTGGAAGCTAGAAAAATTGAAAACTGCGATCTTTAATTGGCGAAAAAAAGATACTTGAGAAGTTGCTTGCACGAAAGATGCTTGCGTGAGTAATTGATAAGTGTTAAGGCGTTTTCAGGTGAAACAAAGAGCGTCAAACGAATGCACCTGTATTTAGTACCGGTATCCGGCTATATTCGCCCTGTCTTGTTCAAATATTTATTTGTCCTGTTGCGGACAAATGTTTAACAATTGTTGGCAGTTTGTTGGAAGTGCTATTGCACGAAGGCTCTAATACATATTTTATGATCGTGAGCACACATCTACGTTGCAAACAACTCCTATAACATAAGTACCAACACCATGCTCAAGCCTTTATTGCCGTATGAAAAGGTTTTAGTAGAAGATTTTAGGAGTGGCTGCCAGGTATGAATATATGAAGTTCCAACATATCCTTAACAAGTATAATGCATTCAAAGAAAATCAGCTCTGTTTGTTTTTTTTTTCGTCGTGCAACACGCTATCCATAAAAACTGCATGAAGTTGATATAGATAGGGAAAAAAAGAGATGGTGAGGCCTAATATATTTTTGGCACTTACGTTTGGGATTAGAGTTATGCTCGAAAGTCGGCGAGTACGTCTGTTTCAAAGTGTGAGTTTAAGGAGGACTGAATGTACGCTCTGAGTTACTATGTATATCCACCATCCGTCCAATTCTATTACAAAAATGCAAAACATTTTGTCAGGCCCCTTGAGTGACTTGCAGAAGGCGTCATATACAAGGCTACATTGCCTCTCTGGCATACCACACTAGCTTGTAGAAGAAAAATGAAGACTTTCAAGTTATTGCGTGTTTTTTTTCACTGACAAAGTCTATTCCTGTTTTTTTGCTATTAGGTACGTTCTCATGTGTTCATGCGTGTACGTTTTATGTCGTTATTGAATTGCAACAGAGTTGCAGTTTTTTATTTTTGAGATTGTTTCATTTTGAATCATTGGTGTCTTGATACATCATCTTCACTACGCGACGTTTTTACGATTATCACTAGCAATATTACCGTGGGCTCTGGAAAAATAAATTAGCCAACTGGGTCTTTTCAGAACGAAAGTGGACAATATCTGAAGTCAATCCCACAAGGCCGAATACGCATTCGACCAATGCACCTGCTCGTGAAACACACTCTCAACAAACGGAATCAAGTGAGGCCATCAAACTTATGAAGGTAATGTAGCTGTGTTCAACATAACTTTGAGAAGACTTAATTTGAGGGTGTTGTCATTTTCGACCAGATGATAGGTACAAAATGTATTCCGAGTACCGTAACTTTGGCCAGCTTTTCCGGAACGTACTTCGCTTATGCATAGCGAGTGTCGTTCTAGCAGATTTGATACCTTTTTGATACCTTAAGAGGGCTTGTAGGGTAGCCTTTTGATTTCAAATATCAAGCTTAGGACGTGGGGATAGAAGCAATGCACAATGACTGCGTGAGCATCAGGGAGTTCCCTTGAGCTGTGGTATGTGTCGCTCAAGTTACGTTTTTGCCTTTCACTTCGCGTTAGTGCATAACGGTGGTGGTGGTGGTGGTGGTGTTGCAGCAGGCGGGGTTGGCCTGGCCTGCATGGCCGGCAATCGTTCCGCATGAGCATCTCCTGAATTTGCAAAATGTCACCACGTGTCAGACAGCCCAGTGTCTCGCAGGAAGACCAACAAAGTTCGTTGCACAATCCTCCTAAATGCCGCAGGTCCTTCAGGAAAGATGACGTCATCAACTGTCTGGTGCCTATGACAGCCTTTTCACAAGGTGCAGATCATCACTGCTCTTTGCACATCAAACTATGTGCAAAGCCAAATGAAATGTCCATTATTCCCGATGTCACCACAGAAGGCACAGGACGGGGAAGCGTATCTCCCAGTCCTGAATGACCAGGCCGGGGTGTATGCGGAGCCGGTTCTAATGCGGTACAACAGCGTCGCTTCTTCACGAGAAGGTTCATGATTTACACATGCTTGGTGGGGAAACTTGTAGATCGCCTTGAAATGATTGCGTACCACATCTTTGTTGTTCTGGTAAGACTTGCGAGTTCTTACTTTTGGAAGCGATGTACTTGCTTCGCATGCAAGGGCATCAGCATTTTCATTACCCTCAACGTCAACGTGGGATGGGATCCACTGGAAGTTTATATTAAAACTCATGCCATTTAGGTGTTTGATTAGTGCCAGAGATTGCCTGGGGAATTTTTCTTAAGGTAGGCCACGATGCAGTCTTTGTAGCGCCGATTTGGAGTCCGTCAGCATTACAACATCTCGTGCAGAAAAGGATCGCAATTTTCGCAAAGCCACCATGATTGCAGCGCTTGCTACCGTTGTGGACGAAACCACGCGATCCAGGCGGCCCGACAATGACACGCCAAGGCAAGGTATGCAGAAAGCCGCTGCGCAGCTATCCGTTTGTGTGCACACTGTTCCGTCGGTGTACACTTGTAGGTGGCTGCGGTACATGGTGCTCAAGTGGTCCAGCGCACAAAATTTTGCTTCCGTGGCTGGAATGGTGTGCTTCGCTGGTAGATTGGGTATGCTGAAGTTACACGCAACATCCAAAAAAGACCATGGCGGGTCCATAGGGCGCCGTTTAGGCAGTTTCAAGCCTAAATATTGAAATGTGTTTAGTGCCACATTGAAATGTGAGCCAGTTCTTGCTCTTTGCCGCCGGAGAAGCGCCGTGCCTGCGAAGGACTCGCCCAGTCTTGACAGCTGCGTCAATAAGGCCTGAGACGCCAAAAGGCGGAGCGGAAGGAACTCGGCTTCATTGGTGACCTTCGCGTTTGGAGCCGCCTCAGGGACTCCCATCGCCAAGCGAAGACCCTTTCTGTGCACTGCCTCTAGGAGTTCGAACTGGCTTGGTGATGGTGATATCAGGGGCAGCTGATAAAGAATGCGGCTTGTTATAAGCGCATCATTCAATTTAAGCATGGACGTAGCATTGTTGCCCCAACGGACCCCTGCCATGCGACGAATAGCGTTGATCCTTTGCACTGATGCCGTTACTATACCATCAACCGCACGTCACCATAATAGCTTGTTGTCGATGGTAATGCCCAGGAAAGTGACACTTGGTGCACAACGAATTGAGTTGCCTCGAATATTCAGCGACAGACGTGTTGACTTCCGTCGCGCTCCCGGGAAGAGCATGAAGACCGATTTTTCCGCTGATAAAGATAGGCCAAGTATCAACAAGTGACGCTCAATGATTGAAATAGCGCTCTGTGCTATACGGGCCAAACGTTTGTGCCTGTACCCTGAGATCCAAATGCAGATGACATCGGCGTAGATGGATATTTTAACTGCTTTCAGAGCTAAGTGCAGAGTGTCGGGAAGGCTGGCCATGGGAGCGTTAAAAAGCAAGGGAGATAGAACGCTTCCTTGTGGTACGCCGAGGGAAACGCGTCTCTCTTCGCTCGTTACATTTCCAAGCTTAATATGGACACAGCGGTCTCTGAGAAATTCATGTACAAACCGAAGAGCATTTCCCGACACACCCATGGCTAGGAGCCCGTTCACGATGCCTGCCTGAAGCACACAATCATATGGCTTGGCAACGTCTATGAAGACGGCGATTGTCGAGAGTCCGCTTACGTGGTGGTGCTCGACGCGGCTTAATAGGTCCAAAACCTTGTCCAGGGCACTCAGTCGTGGGTGAAATCCGGTCATATACGATGGCCATCGTCTTCCTTGTTCAAGGTATCAAGTTATTCTTATACATATTAATCTTTCCATCAACTTAGATACGCATGATGTAAGAGATACCGGTCGATATGACGCGAGGCTCGCAGCATCCTTTCCGGACTTTAGGACTTGCACCACCCATGTTGTCTTCCAAAAAACTGGGATCTCTCCTGTGCTCAGGACATGATTAAATATATCCAAAAGGCCCCCTTTTCACTCATATGGCAGATTTGTCAGCATTTGATTGCTGATCAAATCGGGACCCATGGCACAGCGTCTTCTTAAATTGCTAAGTGCTATATTCAGCTCTCGAAGGTGAATGGCGTATCCATCGTGTGAAAAAACTGGGGTGACAGAGGAATCGCCACTCCTGCTGATCTACCAGATGTGTACACGTCTGCGAAATCCTTTGCACGGGTTTGCAAATCTATTCCTTGTTGCAAAGCGAGTGCTTCGAATGGCCTGTGTGTTCGGATCTTCCCAGAGAGACTATTTATTACTGCCCATATCTTTGTCAAGGACCTAAACGTTGATGAACTCTCACAGAAAGCGGTACGTTGATTTCGCCTTAATTTTTTGTATGGCGACGAATCACAGCGTTTATCCTGTTATATTCGGTTTTCGCAGACAGATTTCCTTTTGTTCTCATTATTTTTCCCTCCGCCCGTCTACGTGCTGCGCAGAGGTTCTTCAATTTCAAGTCAGGAGCAAGAAAATGGTCGGGCAGTTTCAGCAACGAAGTTGCTGCTCGCTTGCTTTGCAACATATCTGCGAACAGCTCACCAGTGGATTTGTCCAGTGCTTCTCTACAGGTGTCCCAGCGTGTTACATTGCAGAATTGTGGACCAGCAGTTCGAAATCCCAGAATATTGGTGAAGATGGGGAAATGGTCGCTGCCCATCCTGTCTCGAGCCGTGGGCGATGATACCAGAAGGTCCGTGGAGTGAAGTACAAGGTCTATTGCACTCCATGAATCTGGTGGCCTGAAAAATGTAGGTTTGCCATCGTTCGCCACACATAAGTCGGCAGCATCCGCAGCTGCTAGAAGTTCTTTGCCTCGAAAATCTACACTTTTATCTCCCCAGAGTGAATGGTGCGCGTTAAATTCACCAGAGATTATTCGAGGAGCGAGACATCGAGTGCAAAGGTGCTTTATTAAAGTCTTCAAGGAGACCTTTTTTCGTGGGCTTATGTACACCGATACAACACTCAGTTTTCGGTTTTCCAGGCACATTTGCACAGCAGCGACTTCCAGTGAGTTGGAACAGAGGTCTGGCACTGGTAAGGCGACGTGAGGTATTTCCCGCCTTATGTATATCATTGCGCTTCCATTTGCAAACGACGTTATGCTCGGGTTGCCGTGTCGGGTGCACCCTGGGAGCGTCTTTGCATTCGGTAGACCGGCTTCGGAGAGGGCTAGAATCGGTATTGGAATGTCGCGCAGGAAAAAGTTGAGTTCGCACAAACGTTTTAAAAGACCAGCGCAGTTCCATTGCATTACTAAGGGCACTTTTGAAGGACGAAATAGACCAGGTGGGCGAGACATTGCCATTATTTCACTGTGTGTTTGTGGAAGCAGAGCAAAGTAACACTGACTCTAGAGCCAGGACTGCTTCCAACATATACTTCGTTGAACTCGCAGGCATCTTAACGACGTGTGAACGTCGTGCGGTGAACAGAGCGTGAATAACGTGCTCGAGATTTTCTTGCTGTTTTCTTCCAGATGATACTTGAGGTGGGCTCAGTGCATCAGCGTAGGTGCCCTTGGCGGACTCTTTCGTGATACATTTCTTACCAGCGTTAAGCACTTGCATTGACTCAGTACCAGCTCTTGTCGGATTTAGGCACGGGAAATTTCCTGCGAACTCGTTATCCAAACCGCCATGTGGTGGCGCGCCGGACGTCTTCTTTGTGAGCGATGGTTCGTTCACAGTCTTCGGGTCGAGGACACATGTCTTATTTCTTCGCTGAGCAGCTGTTCATGCTGGACATCGGCCGTAGCTAGCTAGGTGGTCGCCGCCACAATTTGCACACACCAGTTTTTCTTTACTTGTACACGTCTTAAAGTCATTAAGCCCCCACAGCGCTTACACCGTTGTTCCCCACGACAGTGCTTAGCAACATGTCCAAAACGCTGACAATTTTAACAGCGTGGCGGCGTCTCCACGTATTCTACCAGCTCGTGTCTGGTGAAGCCAAGGTTGATCTTCTCTGAACGTTCCGAATTGGGAGCGAATGTGAGAACCACAGAGTAAATGCACCTTGATTCTCACTCGGAGGATGAGGTTTGGACCCGTCGTATGATTCTTCTTGCGTGGTATACTCCCTGAGGTCTCAGGTAGGTTAACAGCTCTTCGTCCGAGCACCATCTTGGAATACCTTTTATAATGCATGTATTTTTATGTAGCTGTG